AATACCAACCTTCATTTGCAGTTTCTTCAACTAATACTGCCTTCTCTCTTCTCCTTTGTGCTCGTTCTATCTTCGTGATATTTGTGAAATGGCTGTAGCACTCCCTGTGGTAGCCAATGTTAGCTGGTTTGACTAACTGGTTTGTAGGTTCCTGGCTTTGTAATTTGTATGCCTGTACTGCCTCTTCTGCTATAATACTTTCTCTGCATTCAAGGTCTTTCCACAGAAACACAGATTTAATAAATTTCTCCCAACTTATGTCTGTGAAGGGAATGGTGGGTCTATTTCCCTCACATATATGCATGCAGCACTTCATGTTTTTGCGATTTCATCCATAGTAAAAATGTGCGGGAAAAAGAGAAATGTGCGTTTTTATCATAGACATAATCAATACATAGACGCCCAATTGCCCGCTGGAGCGTACGTCAACGGTGCGGCCATATTGCGGAGGGCAACTTTCCCATAGATTTCATACCGGGAATTGAGAAAAATGTGTTTCGTGTGCTGCTTGGGGCTGTACAAATCGCCACACAATTGAAAACAGGTCTCGAGCAATTACTTTTCACAAGCAAGACTGAAAATTTGTTTCTGGTTGTATTTGGCCATTATATAATTAGAAATTTCAAAATACTACTGTTATTGTGTCACGAAATGTAGTTTTAATAGTTTTTCAGTCGACAATGTAGTTGTCTAAAGCTCAAATCTATGGTTTATTCGTAAAGATAGAGCCTATTTAAAAATTTTATCTGACGTTTTTGGAGTGAGAGATCCGGGCGCTCATGTACCCCACCTGGAACAGCCTTACCTCGGCTATAGTGCTTCTGACGTTTGCCGCTGGCTCTGATGTCTAGTGGTTAAACATGATATATAATTCGACTTGTGTATATCTAACAGGTAATCTTTGGTCTCATTAATCTATAATTTGTTCCTTGGCAAATCGTTTTGGCTGAGGGCAAAGTAAAGTTTCATAACTTTATATTTAGGCTATTTTAACGTTGTATCCTGCTGTAGATGTCTATGGTTTTCATGATGTTGTGTTTCCAAGCAATACCATTAAATGTGTGAAATCAGAACGGTATATTTATTAAAGATTACAACGAAATGACAGGACATCGTATGACAAAAGATGGTTACATAAAATAAAAACAGTGACAATGCATAACGTTACCTCTACATTCACATTTTGTGTCAAACTGAATACGTAGCATAAGTGGGCAAAATTAGTTAACAAGTTCAATCTTTCCTGGGCTAAAATCACTTCTCGAAAAGATGTGCACAGAGCATAGACTGTAGGTCAGACAGCAACTTCATATCAGCGCGCCCGTGTGTTGACAAACGCGTCACCAACACCGACACTTTCCCACGCACGCTATTGGATGAAGGCAACAAATACGTCACGCATGTCGGACCCAACACGTAGCCGCCTGCTCTATTCGCCGGGAAAATAACCTGGACAAAGTTACCGATATTATAGTAATGTGCAAAGTATGTGAGTGGCAACAATTTTTATTTGCTTTGTTGAAAAGTGTAGTGGTTATGTATAAAAAACTGGGTTATCCATCCCCAGAGATCGTCTGAAAACACGAAATCCCCCCTCGGCCCACCGTCTATCAGACTGAAACGGATTTCCAGAAATGTGATTTGAATAGAATTTCAAACCACATATGATATATTTAATGTGATTTTTTTTTCTGTTCACATTGGATTTCAATCGGATGTGCACAAAAATAGCATTTGGACTGACAGTCTGAACGTAGCCTATCACTCAAAAAAATGATATGTTGGCTTTACTTAACTTTTTTATGTAAACAGGTTCCACCGGTTCCACATAACTATGTTTCGTTAAACAAATAGAATATGTTCATGTAACTTTAACATCATGGAATTTGGTCATTTTAAGCGACCCAATTAAACTCTGAGCTAAAGAGTTAATTAAGTGAATAACTGAGTGATGATTGAGCATTATTGAAGACACCTGATGTTAACAAGCAGAATCTCTGAAGGAGAAAACCGGAATGTTTACGTCACCATTATGGAGATAAGTGTGTGTTTTAGTTGGGGGCTCTTGACCATTAACTTATTAACTTTAGATTTTGTTTGGTTGCTGTACATGAGTTATAACAGCCAGATGAACAATGAACTAAGGAGATCTGATGGTGTTGGTTGTGTTTTAACATAATCATTATTTCACAATCATTTGACCTCAATCACTGAACTTATATTGAACCCAATTTCTGAGTTAAGTTTACCTTATGTCATTGTAGAGCATACTATTTTTAGGCTTTTCAATGAAATTCAAATGATCAAATCAAGAAATAAAAAATAAACTTCTTAAAAAATATGTTGAGTAGGCACACACAGACATCAAGAATCAGCATATGAATCTCAGCAATGGTGACAAACAGATCATAAGCTCGTTATTTATTCATGCAGCAATGCATGATGGGAGCCATGAATGAGTTTTGATTGGTGGCACCCAGAATCCACTGCAACATGCTTTACAATTGTCACCATTGTTGAGATTCACAGGCTGATTCTTGATGTCTGTGTGTGCCTACTCAAAATATTTTTTTTAGGAAGTTTCTTTTTTATTTATTGATTTGATCATTTGAATTTCATTGAAAAGTCAAAAAATAGTATGATCTACAATGACAATGCTGCTATTATTCGAAAGGTTAACTTAAAGGAGAACTCCGGTCAATTTTAACATTGAGCTCATTTTTTTTTACATTTGGAGTGCTGTCAGTACAGACAAAAACGACAAAAATCGGTGTTGCCTACACCGTGTTATCCTCTTTTTAAAATTCGCACCCTGTTGACTTCAATGGGGCAAGTTCTAAACCTGCTTTTAGCCTCTTAACATCCTTGATTTGTCATTACAAGTGCACAGCCATGTGAGTGGTGTTATTAAGAGTGACCACGGTCAATCTGACTGCAGTAGATGTGCAAGATATGAATAAAAACGATGTTTATTCAGGCAGCTCACATACCTGTATTTACTTCCTGTTTTCGTTCGAAGTCCACAGCAGTCGATTGTCGAGTTCGCGCGCGCGATCATTAGTTATTAGTTATTCGGTTTAATATAAGTTCAGTGATTGAGGTCAAATGATTGTGAAATAATGATTATGTTAAAACACAACCAACACCATCAGATCTCCTTAGTTCATTGTTCATCCGGTTGTTATAACTCATGTACAGCAACCAAACAAAATCTAAAGTAAATAAGTTAATGGTCAAGAGCCCCCAACTAAAACACACACTTATCTCCATAATGGTGTTTACATAAAATGTTTACATAAAAAAGTTAAGTAAATTTAGTACGTTTTTTAGTAAGTTTTTTGAGTGTAATTGTACTTTAATTGCCATAAGTCTTTTTGTTGATGTATAATATAATTAAATTCAAGCTGCTTAATAATTAGTGTTATGGCTAGAAGTCAGTTGTAGTTCTTGTGTTTCTGCTCTTCTTTTTCTATTCTTGTAATTTCACTTAAAGCTGCCGTCGGCAACATTTTTTTTATCATATTCAGTGAAATCGACACTATAATCTGACAGAACAACATAAATAAAGTGGTTTTAGAAAAAAACCCGAGCTTCTAACTCCACCTGGAGCGTGTTATTTGATTTGCAAAAATCCACAGCTCCCGGTTCATCATGTCCAATCAGCGCAGGGGGGTGTGAGATCTGACTGTCAATCACAGATCGGGCACACGCCACCCCTCACGCACGTTACAATCACATGCACACGCCTGAAGTTTGCGGAAGTTCGCGCAGTAACGAAGAGTGATGGTGGAAAATCAAGTAAGCTCATTTAGAGTATAAATGACATTAGCAATTGCAATCTATTGGTAGATTAGCCAGGGCAGCATACCTCCAAATAATCCATGGTGTTGATGGATGCTGATGAGACGGGCGCGTTCACCATACCTGTCAACACTCCCGTTTTTCCCCGGTTTTTCCTGTTTTTTAGCCCTATCTCCCGGACCCCTCCCGGTTTGTTATTTCTCCCGGGAAACTCCCGTAATTTGCATGGCCCAAACTCCTTTATGAATAATCGGAACAATATGTTTGTCTAATGTTGACCAGTTGCCAGATCTTGTATTAAATGCATTATATTCACACAATCCACACACCATATACAATTTCAACCCGTTTGTCATCTCAACCTGGCAACCTATAACCCAGTTGCGCAGTCGCGGAAAGCTTAACCCGAAATAGAGTGCGGCGCGGGACTAAATTTGATGGCCGAGTGCGAGCGCGGGCGGTAATGCACTCACTCTGTGTGTGTGAGAATAAAACGATTCGCGGGACTCCCGCAAACTAGAAATATTTATGAATAAAACACAAAAAACTAATACATTTTTATTCATCTGTTGCAGAAAAGCAACAATAACAACAAAAACGATTTACAGGCCAGAGTTTATATTTATAACATGTTTGCAGCGTTGAGCGATGTAGCCAATCACAGACATATGTGTTGATTTCTTGAACGCAATGGCCAATCAGAAGCATTTAAGATAGACTCCCCTCACCGCTCAAAACTTTTTTGTTCAGTGCTGAATTCTGTATGCTGGCAAATCCTCTGATTATAACAAACAAAGTGTATATATTATGAAAGATTCACTGTGCAGTCAGCTACATTGATAATAACAGAAATGTGTGAAAGAGAACACACCGCCCCCCCTTCCTAAATTCACTCAATCTGCCAGACTTGCCGACTGCAGCTTTCACATCAGTTGTCACCACTAATGGTCAATCATCACTTAATCACTGAATTATCTCATCAACTTCAGCACTGCTTCAGTGTTATTTTAACACCCTGTAGTGTGGACACATGAACACTGAGGGGTGTTCATTTAACACTGGGGATTTTACTGTTAGTTAAAAGTTGACAAATATCCACAGTCTCCTTTATATTTATGAGCACATTAAAATTGTGTACAGTAAATGGTGCATCGTTTTATGAATGAATGTTTATTGTGATTGTAGGGAGCTGCACTTACTGCTGTTAGATGAATTGCAGATGAAATGATGATTATGACTACATGACTCATCATGCCATTTTCCATTTCTCAATAAAGCACACGCCTCATCTCCACCATTAAGTTGTCTAGTTCCCCAGTTCAGATAGAGCGCAGGTTCACCTGAAGACCACTGCCATTTATCAACACCCGTCCTCTGCAGCCCAATCCAGACATACTGATCACCTCCATCATTCACACTCTTCTTCAGCTCGTTCATGTCGTTGATGTTGTCAGCGGTGGCCAGATCTGTGTAATTCTCTCTGCAGAATCTCTGAGCTTCAGTCCAGGTCTTGTTCACGTTTATAAAGTGATACTGACGCTGAACACATTCAGATACGGAGCAGAGAGCTGTGAAAGAGAGCGTTTGATTTAATGCTTTTCATAACAGGGTCAAACCTGACGAAACTATAAACCATAAATAAAACAACAAACACTCACCAATGAGAAGAAGAACGAAATATAGAGTTTGGTCCATTTCTGAGGAAGAAATAAAAACCTCTCATATTCATCTTATATTAAAACATAATCTTAGGCATATAAACATAACTGAATTAATAATCATTTAGACAATATTACCATCTGAAAGTGTAATTGTGTTTGAAGAATGAACATGTTCTTACTTTAGAGGTCGTGTGTTTCTGTCCTGAGTCTGTTTCTGCGTCTGCAGATTTACACTACGTGATTATTATATCTGCTCTCATCCCTCATTTAGATCATCACATCATTTGTTTATTTCTCTAAAACCCCTATTTCATATTTTACTTCCTCTATATTTGTGTATTTTTCTCTTTCCCCTTATTTGCATTTTGACATCTGCGTCAGTCAGTATCAGTCAATATGAATATGGACCTTAATCAGAAAATTATATACATATTAACATTTATAATTTAAGTTTGATCATTAATAACTAAACAGCTGCTCTAATGTTAATGCTGGACTGTATAACTCATGTTACATCCCTGTTTAACTCTATATGTATGTTTGTGTTTCTCTGTTTTGGGCCACTTTTTACCTGTTTGTGTTTGAACTGAACAACCCACTAATGATCTGATTGATGAGTGTTGAGTTCATCAGTGAAGACTGGTGATACTGGTTACTGAGAGCCTTTAAAAACCCCTGTTTGAGTCTCCAGTCAAAGAGAAAGAAACATGTGTGAGATGAAGGAGTGCGTCTGACTATTGAGAGAGTTTGTGCTGAGAAGAGAGTTTAAAAATTTGTTTTGCTCTTATATTTCTTCTTTTCCTCTTCTGAGAGCCGAGACCGCTGGTGTTGAGGAGGAGACACGACAGACATTCACAACAGAGACGAGATAAAGACATTAATGCTCATATCATGCTTTCATTCCCCTGAAGGTCATATATAATGTTAGTAAAGGTCATATGTAATGTTAGTAAATGTCATATATAATGTTAGTAAAGATTATTAGACTCTCATTATCCACTGAAATAATATCATCATCTTCTGCTGCTGCTGTTTCAGAACAAACGTCTTTATTTCCTCTGTCTAAATACTTGATTGTGATTGGCTGGAATCCGAACAATAAAACATTGTTAATTTTTTTTAGATTTCTCTTTGTGAAAATTCTCATTTTGTTTTATTTCATACTCATGGGCCCTGTTTCAATAAGGAGGTTTAACCAACTCTGAGTTAAAACTTGAACTCTGAGTTGATTTACCCTGAGATGAAACTCTGAGTTTTCGGTTTCAGAACAGCTGAATTGGGTTAGTTTAATCTACTCTGAGTAGGTTGACTCTGAGTTAAGCACGTGCACCACGACTATAAAAAGCCATGATCAATGGAGCTCCGAAATTACGATTCACTATGGCAACAGCACCCGACAAAAAGACGTCCACATACTCCCGAGTCAATACACATGTATAATTCTCAATCACTGTTATATTATCAGGTGAAAACTGACAGAAAGATAAGTTATTGAACTAATACTCAATTTCATGGTATGAAAAAAAAAGAAGAAGAAAAAAAGAACGTGGCAGCAACTAAAAATGAAGAATAATTTCATAATTCAATCAGTGAAATCTTTAAGCACAAAGGGTTCATGGCTGTAGGCTACATGACTTTACAAACATTTGACACATTAAATAAATATAATTCAGTGTCTATTTCAATATGCACATTATTTCCACATAGTATAATGCTCTTTTCACGTAATTAAATATTCTCTAAGGGACTGTTCGTTATTTATTTAAGGGGCCACCGGAGGAGATTTGAGATCTGTAGTCAAAAAAGACTTGACCCTCCCTTCGCCAGCAATATTTTTTTGTATGACCCTCCAAAATGATTGTGAAAAAAGGCATGACCCTCCCCGATAATTTATTAATTACTTTTGTACTGGTTTTGGCAAAGATGTTCAGATAGCCATCCCAGCTGGCATTTTAACGTTGAGTCACTGTTGAAACAACGTCAGGTGCCAGTGTTGGATAACCGTTGGATTTTGTTTAGATTTTGCAAATCTAATCAACGTTGAAATTGCAACGTCATTCCAACGTCGTTTCTCAACATAGGTGAATTCGCCAACATTAAATCAACATTGATTTTAGTTTAGATTTTGCAAATCCAATCAACGTTGAAATTTCAACGTCAATATAAAGTCCTGCTTTTCAACAGTTTATTTTGTTAAACCGTTTTCACTAAAGTATTGATGTGTTCAACAGTAACACCAAACACCTTGAAATGGATACATAAACACTGGTTCCGGACATGCCAGCTAGAAAGAAGCAGATTGGTCAAATTAATAAAGACATTTCACTGGCGTAAGAAAAGTGCTTTATTACATGGCTGCATGGCTTTATTACATTTATTACACATCATACTATAAACTTTAGAAAATTGGCCCAAACATTAGGCAACATGTACGGCTGGTTAAAGGGATAGTTCATCGCTTTAAATCTTCCCTCGTTACTTTCTGCCACCGCCACCCATCCTCTCTGGTGCATATTTAAGGTATTTGGCCATGTATTGGTCTACTTCTGTATTTGTTGTAGCAAATGAGCTCAAGACAGCGTCTGATGAAAAAAAAAAAAAGATCAGTATTAGCAAACACTAACCTCTCAAATTAAAATATTTTACAAATATCACATTTTGTGGCATTGCCAATGTTTCAAGTATATAAATTAGTATTTATCAAAGTGCAAGTTCATTGATAATCATGTGCTTGGGCAGTTGTTTTATTCAGAAATATTATTACAATTTAAAACAGCGGTTTTCTATGTGAATATATAGTGATGTGTAATTTGTTCCTGTGATCAAAGCTGAATTTACAGCATCATTACATTACATCATTAAAGACTTCAGTGTCACATGATCCTAAAGAAATTATTATAATATGATGCTCAAGAAACATTTATGATTATTATCCATGTTGAAAACAGTTTTTTAAATTTTTATTTCAGGATTCTTTGATGCATAGAAAGTTCAAAAGAACAGAATTGATCTGAAATGGAAAGCTTTTGTAACATTAATCACTACCATTCAAAAGTTTGGGGTCAGTGAGAATTTTTTTTTTATATATATATATATATATATATATATTTTTTTTATTAGAAAATACTTTTATTCATCAAGGATGAGTTAAATTGATCAAAAGTTACAGTAAAGACATTTATAATGTTAGAAAAGATTATATTTTAAATAAATGCTGTTCTTTTGAACTTTCTATTCATCATAGAATTTTGGGGGGGAAAAGAAAAATAAAGGTACACGACTGTTTTCAACATTGAAAAGAATAATTTATGTTTTTTTGAGCATAAAATCAGCATATTAGAATGATTTCTGAAGGATCATGTGACACTGAAAACTGATGTGTAATCAGCAACAGTAATGATGTTAAAATTCAGCTTTCAAATTACATTTTACACTGGAAGACTCCTAATTATTCATCAGCAAAAATAAGAGAATAAAATTACTTTTTTCAGTCATCGGGAAGTCTTCCTTCCTCAAGTTGTTTGAGTGTGCATGCGTCGACATCGCCTTGGCAGCATTTGGGGGATCCCTTTCAGCTCTCATAGACTTCTCAGGAGGCTGCCTAAGGCTTCGGTCGATAGTCGTTCTTGGGGTGTCACTGATCATATACAAGCACAACCAAGACAGATACAAGTATCTTAAAGAGCTCCAGTATTTTTTTCCCATATGCCAAAATATGTTCCTAACAACACTCACCTCCTACTGCTCCTTGTGGGTTCAGAAGCATTCTGACGCCATGAGAAGGACTCAGAGGAACTCCGCCTCCGTTTCTGCAAAGGTGACTTGAACAGACTCCTTCGGCTACATTATATGGTAAAAAAAGAAAAAAAGAAGAAAAAAATTACATAAATTAAAAAGGACATTGGTATGACCGTTATTGCAAATGAAGTCTAATTCTCAAATTAGTGGGAATGATCATTTTGCATTGCACTTTTTTTTTTGATGGATTAGCCTAGATAATGTATTAGCTTAGAGAAATAGTGATTTCAATAGGAGGAAAACAGTTCATATGCAGAGCTATAAGCTACTCTGTTGACATGGTCCTGCTCTGCATAATATTTTTAATGTGATAGTCTAAGTTGTGTTATATACATTAGGCTACTACATCCCGGTACAACGCAATTTAGCACCATTTCGATGGAAATTTATCAAATAAATTACGATGTATCAAAGCAAGCCTAGTTGTATCCATTTTTCGGATTCTGCCGCCTGTAACCGGTAGGCGTGATTTGGGAGTGGCCTAGTAAGGGCAGCAAAGCAAGTGCATTCTGGGAGTTGTTGTCTTTCAGCCACATGAGTAAAAAATACATTTTCTGCCTTTTCTCAGTCTAGAATGCTTCAATTTCAAAAATAATTTCACATTTCTACTACATAAATGACCACTATTAAATACACATTCATCTTCCCACAGCTGGAGTATCCCTTTAAACTGCCGTACACGTACGTGTACACACACACACACACACACACACAACGGCGGTTCGCTGTTAAACTAGTCTGCCCGTACACACACACACAGAGAGAGAACGGCGGTTGGCGGATATCTCACACACAACGGCGGTTCGCGGTTAAACTAGTCTGCCCGTACGTACACACACACAGAGAGAGAGGGAGAGAGAGAGAACGGCGGTTGGCGGTTAGCAAGCACACAACGGCGGTTCGCGGTTAAACTAGTCTGCCCATACACCCAATATTAATTAGTGATGTGTCCTCCCGTATCGAGGCTTCGAAGCGTGTGTCGAGTAATCCGGGATGATTTCTGTGAAGCGCGTATCGAGGCTTGTGTCGGTGACGTATGTGGTGACGTTTGAAGCCTCGCGAGCCGCCTGTGCCACGTGACTGCTTCAGGAAGTGGTTCGCGGTTTGGCGGTCTATTTGAAATATAAGGGCCAGCAAAATGCAATAGATTCCCCCTCACATTTTGTGGACTTGGGACTTTGCGAGTTTGTTAGCGATCTATTCAAGCTTATTTTTCTTCATTCAATTCATTCAATGCTTCAGACACCAAAGCCATAGTGTCATTATAATCACACTGCACGTTTTACATTTATTGTCCACTTGATGGCACAATAGAGCAAATGAAGCACCATGAAGCTTCGGCACATGAGTGAACCAATTGGATGAAACGCTTCAATGCTTTATGAAGCTTCATCTCGCCATCACTAATATTAATTAACACAATACGTATTAATATATGGACAAGATTCAGGCACACTCAATTTATTTTGTTTCTTTTTCTATAAAATGTGGCTTTAAAAACTTTGCTTAC